TAAAGAACTAAATAAAGGAAAAGAAAGAGACTTACTAATCTGGGGTGTTTTTGATTCTAATTTTGAACAGATTGCGTTAAATTTCCGCAATTCTCATTCTTCACTTGGGTTGGGTAGAGCGCAAAACTTTTAGTCCTATTCAATCTAGATCGGACAGTGGCAAAAAAAAAAAAAAAAAAAAAAAAAAAAGTCCGCTGCTTCAATATTAGAGATTTTGCGGAGAAAGGGGAGAACCTCCCAACCTCCGTACTGTATAATGTATTGGGGGGGGGGGGGAATATTCTGACTATTCGATTACTTTCCTTTTATTTAAGCCATTCCGAATATTATTCCTTAGAAAGCTAATCTGTGTAAAAATACAACCATTTTTGGAAGTTTATCTACACTTCAGGCAGCTACTGCAACTATATTACTATAAATATTCATACATATGCTCATAATATAAGCATAACGATCATAATAAACACAAATATGAACTGACCACGCGGAACGAGAATGCAAATTATTAAAATCTTGATAGAAATTCAAACGTGTGTAGTATTTGGGTGGGCGGAAAAGAATACCAAATTACCGGAATTTTCTACGGTTTCAGTAATTCTTTGACCAAAAGAACGACGTGCACCTGTCTATACTCTCACGCGTACCATACGTTACGTTAATGCAGGGAAAGAGGGGAAAGCTATTTCCGGGAGTATGATTCACCATCTGATGTTCCATATAAGGAAGAAAAGTTGTTTATTTAGTTTCGGCTTTGGTATGGGAGGAAAAATGCGCGTTCATTAATAAAAGCACTAAAAGCAAAAAATAAGCACTAAAAACAAAAAAATAAGGGCTTTAAAGAAAAAGTAAGCACCTATAAGGGCCTTTATATTTTATTTTCAAATATAAGGACTTATAAGCACTTGTAAGGACAGCTACGAACCCTGAAAGAATTCTGAAGCCTGGAAAATCCTCAAGTTGAAATATGAACTCACTGTTATTTCGATTAAAAAAGACAGCCACGTGAAGTAGAAATAGTTCAAATTATCCTAACTGAAAAGACTATTGAGGAAAACTATTAGAACACTGTATGTAAAAAATTAAGGAATTTATAGAAATGGCAGTTTTTCTAATTTAAGCCGAAGGCTACCAATTTTCAAGCATATTCCTGTCAATTCAATTTACAATATATTTCTTGCGATTTTTTCCCTATAGGGAATCTTATGGGGGAAATTAGCTCCCATGTTTTATGTGCAGATGTACACTGCGCAAAAAAAAAAAAAAAAAAAAAAAAAAGGTGGGGGGGACAGTTCTATATCTGCCGTTCAACTGGGCTGATTGACGAAATTCAAACTGCGTTTTTTATGTCTCGAAAGCGTGACTTAGGATATACATTAGATTTATATATAGCTCTATTCTAACATAGTTATTTTGACACGAAATTGGACCGTTTCTGAAATAACATACCAATTTTTTTTTTCATATTTCGATTCTACGCCTCAAATTAGGTCTAAATATGAAATTTTGTTAAATTTGGTGCGAAATTCAGAAATTTATGTTGGAGATTTTTTTCAGTTTGTGCCAAGAATAGTTCACTGGGCAAACTTCTTAATATATGGCAACCTATTTTCCTTTCCCGTGAGCGGGAAAAAAGTCGCAATCGTTCCTTTTTTCAATAACATTCTTTATATTAGATTTTTAGTTATAATTATTTCAAGTAATTTTTTCTTTTTTGAATTTCATTTTAATTGTTTAAGTTGCACAGCTTCTTTCGAACAACTGTTTTAAAAACTTCTATTTACCCATTCCAACTGCGTAGTTTAAATAAAAGGTGCATCATTTAATTTTTTTCAAATAGTTGTCTTTATGTTTTTTTTTTTTTTTTTTTGGTCACAGTTATTAGTTTTAGGTAATTTTTAAATTTTTAGACTTTTAATTGTTTGTGTTGCATTGTCTCTTCAGATAATTGCTTTAAAAATTTTATTTATTCATTTGAACTGAGTATTTTAAATATATTTATTAATATAAATATTTCAGGATTTTATTTTATGTATTTGAATTGCGTTTCTTTTGGAAGAATACTTTATGTCCCAGACTACGATGCAGAAAACTGAATATATTAAAAGAGAAAATACAGTAAAGCATAGTTAACACGCCTTTCAATGATCCATTCAGAAAACATACATAAATGAGAAAGATGTATAACCGACATTTTAACTTAGGATGACTTGCATATATTGCTTTAAATAGCTTTAACATTGTGCTCATTGCTTTACATAATTTTATCATCCTACATTTAGTTTCTTAAAATGTTATTCATATTTTAGTCAAATATTGTATTTTTGAAATTGCAAGAATCAAATATCATAAGATTAAAAAGTTTTAAATTAAAAAATAAAAAACTAAATTTTATGCAAAACAAATTTTTTTTTTTTCTTAATGGCTTGCTCTTTTTCTTCAGGCATTCTGCAAGTATATTAAAAATGTTTTTGAAATATCTTGGTATTTTTGACATTCATTTTAAATAAAATTATCGCCTTCCATTAAGGTCCACAAACGGCCAAGCGGTAAAGTTGCTGAACACTGGTAGTTCGTTCATGATGATATGATGTTTTATAACATAGTTTAAATTTATACAAACATATAGTCGAAAACAAACCACCCATCACTTTAATCTGCAATGATATCGTTTTTGTCTTTTCCGTTAGCACAAGCTCAGTTGATGGTATTTGCTGATGTACACTACCAAGTGTTTTCTCTTTGAACACCCAAATTCCTTGAAGTATTCTGAAAGTATAAAGCATCCACCTTTTCGAAACACCTTGGTATTTCTGACAGCGAAATTCCCCTTAAAATTTTTGCTTACTTTTCTCCCTAATTTTCTTCTTTACTTCTACATTTATTTTCAATGCTCACCACAAGAAAATTTAAAGATTTTTCAATTGTTACACTTCCATAAATTTTGCATTCTTGCCAATTTTGTAAAAATATCAATTACATCAACTGTGTTTCAGTTGAAGATAGCTTTTCATTTTTAGGCATTTTAACTATAAATAAAGTTTAAAGCAAAGCCCAAAGGATAAATATTTTAATTAAAAGATTTTTTGCTAAATGATAAAGAAATAAAACAGTCCAGCAGTGTTTAATCTGTACCACTGAGTGACCCGATTACTGTATCGGCTACTAATAATCTAAATCATACTACAGATCATGTTTTTTATACAACCTATAACATGAGAGAAAATTATATACTTAAATCATTCTTTCGAAGAGAATTAATGTAAAAATTTATACTTATATATATAATTTTTAAAGCTGGGATATGACCCTAACTGTCAACGTCCTGTTTGCTTAAAAACATTGTGAAAATAAACATCAAACTTTCTCAAGGGTACAATAAAATGTACCAAATACAAATGAAAAATGTTATAAAGAGTGCTAAAAATTGGCTGCATCAGGTGCAATGAATGCTTCACATTGCACCGTATGGATTCATCAACTCGTTTGAATTGGGCATGAGTCTCCTGGAAACGTGCTGCCACTTCAATGATACGTGGCAGGTGACAGGTGACGGAGGACGGGGACGCCTGACGTATAACATAGGTAAACAGGCATATGTCCCACGTCCTCCACTATCTCGAAGAAGCAACTCGCTGGAGCCCCGTGAGGCTGCACCAGGAGTTTACATGGCCATACAGGGGCTAGATGTCGGGTAGTTTTTACATAGGACGTTGTTAATAACACAAAGTAACTTAGAAAGAATATAAAGGATAGAATTAAAACACTAAAACACTCATATAAGCTGAAACACATAGATATACAAAATTAAATGTAAAAGCATAAAACACACTCGTAATTACGTAACATAAAGACATAGAAAAACACACACGAAAATACATATCATGACACATAGAATACATATGGAAACACGTAGAGCACATAAATGCAAATATTACACACAGAGGAAACATATAAGACATAGTAAGGTGTGCGTAAAGCAGTAGTGCTGTGCGGAAATATGCTCAGTTCCCATAATACATAATGTACATACTTTCATTAGGGGCTTCTGTTGCATGAATTACATATTTCGTTGCATACACTACATTCGTGCATTCTACGGATATCATATATTTCAATTTACGATAACACATCATTCCATTGGGTGCCCAGTGCTTCACACTGATAAACATGTCAGTAACATTATATCTGCAAGTTGGTGGCTATTGAAAGCAGATGTTAACACGAGGCTCGAAATTGAATGTGGAATGTGTATTACAGAATGTGTACATACTGCGAATATCTAATAGTTGAGTACATTGTCTGCAGTACCATGCTACTGTGGCTCGCAAATGTCTTGCCCTAGGGCGTTGATTTGCTGTACAACTGCGCAGATGCTCCTTATAGCTGGCGGGTGTTTGATTATGAAACGATAGTAAAGTGTTCTATCATTCGTTGGATGTGGTAAGTGGTGAGGCTTAGGATACGTGGCATGAGGTCCATGTCCGATGGAATAGGTGTCTCGCACACCAGGCACTTAAGGTATCCCAAGACGTATTAAGCCTGCGGATCGCGGTGGCCACAGTACAGGGCCGCCTCTGCCAATCCAGCAATATTGGGTACGTCAAGTCCAGGAAGTGACGTACATTCCTGTGGAAATTTAAGGGAGCCCCATCATGTTGACGCGTGTTTAGTTGAAAAAATGAGGGGGCGATGTTCAGCCTAGTTTCTCCATGTTTTCAACAGGAATGGAGTGAAAGCTATATAATTAATGAGATTGCTATGCAAGAAAAATTCTGAAGCTTCTTAGAAATTTAATTGAGGAGTGTATATTAGCAGTAAAATTGAGGTGTGACCTAATTCACCTCTTAGCTGTTTCTTTATATAAACATAAATATTTTCCCTAACACTTTTTCACTCTATTGTATACATACACAAGGATAGTTAAACTATTCCAAACTTACGCTAGGCATAAATTCATATAAAATAAACAAAAACATCAACGAAAAATGTAAGAAACTTACTCAATACTGCTATCTTCAATAACTGTTTGCGACTGATAACAAGTCATTTGAATTCTACCTCCCTTTCAAAAGAAAATATTTTTTAGATACTGGAATGAAAAAATTCACACATTAATATATTAAGTGCATTTTTACCAAGAGACATAATTGTCTGCATTTTGAATTTCACATGTTCATTTCATGTCAGAATATAAAATTGCGGTACAACTCTGATAAACGCCCTAAATTCACCAAATGTGGCGATATGTGTTTTGAGCTGGTTTTTGGTGATTGCGTGTTGTATGGTAACCATGTCGACGTTGAAAAATCTTTTGGTGGAGTAGTTTAATTGCTAGTTGGTTTGTGTTGCCTGTGTTTTTGAAATGGCCTATGTTGCGATGAAAGATGTGGTGGGAAGGTTTCAGCCACGTATTTTAGATTGTGTGCAGAGTAAATTTAGTATGAAAAGGTACGATGTTGGAGTTGTTAACGAGTCTTTTGTCCACGGATGTATTTATGGGGATCGTAGTGTATTTTTGGAATTTCTTTGGGAGTCAGGACTTTTAAAACGGAGTTTGACATGTCCGAAATACGGAGCTGATATGAGAACTCGGACGAAAAATGACTTGTGTGGGTTTGCAGTAAAATTGTTGCTAATAAAGTATGTGGGTGTCAGCGGAGTTTAAGGCTTGGATCTTGGTTTTCGTGTAGCAAGTTAACGTAGGAGGAAGTTTTTATTGTTACTTTCGAAATTTTGAATCGTAGGAAGGCATGTGATATACAAAATCATGGAAGTTTTCTTCACAGATGTTATGTGACTGGCGAAATTTTATTAACGAATGTATTTTGGACTTTGTATGCTCTGTATCTGATAAGATAGAGGGGAAAGATATTTCTGCTTTTAAAAGAAGCTTTCATTATGGTAAGTGCATCTTATTTTATTGTTTTTATTTTATAGAATGTTATATTCATTGTTTTTTGTATGAATTTCTGTTTTAATTGTTTTTTGAATTGTCTGAAATTTATTTTAGTTTATTTTCTTGATTTGTTTTTAGTGTAGATTGTGTAATTCACAGATGTTTTTTTAAGTTGAAAGAGAACGCTGTGTACATGGTATTCTTTGAAATTTATTGTTGTTATGTTAATTTATTAAAGCGAGGTGTGCATAGTTCGTAGATTCGTTCGTTGCCTACAATGTGCCATTCGTAGATTTTTTTTTAAGTTAAAACATGTCGCTGTGTACATGGATTTTTGTCAAATATTTTTGGTTAGAAACTTTACGTTTTTGCTATCTAAATTTTTTGTTTTGGATTTTTAGCTTAAACCGTGTGTTCAAAACGTAGTTTTTGCATGTGCGAAAACCGTATTTTTGGAGACATTTTAGGCTTAAAGTTCAAAATGTACACAAAAAATTTAGATAGTAATATGGCAGCGTGAAGTTTCTCGCCAAATCAAAATTGCTTTAAATCTAAATATTGTAATAGCTGAGTTAATATAAAAGTACAATTTGAATGCTGTGTAGAAGAAATTGTATTATACATTTTAATGTAATAATAATAATCTGCAATACTTTCCTTTTAGTAATACCACTTCAAGTAGGCTTCAAAGACAAAAATCAAAGAAATAACTGAAGGTAGTCATCAATCAAAAAAAAAAAAAAAAAATTACCAAATGCAGTTCTGATTACTAACTACTAACCACTAACCAGATAAACTGGCTGTAGAAACTGTACTGCACCAGATGGCAACTGTGTGCGCTTGAATTCTTTGGACTAGTGCAGAACCTTGATGACTGAGAGAGATGTAACACGAACGCGAAACACTAGCTAAAGTTTATATGTGCTTCCCTTTTTTGTAAATGTATTTATTGTGTCATCAAATAAAATTTAGAGAAAATGACAAAAAGCGAGAATGCGTCTAACAGGTAAGCAAACTTTCTTTATAATTTATTATCGAGTTTTAGCGACAAAGAATGTATATGTGTATTTACAAATCTTTTTGGTGCCAATAATCCGGAAGAGACCTTTAGATAAAGTAAATTGCGAATTGAATACTGAAAAACGTATTTAGCAAATTGAATAATTAAAATTGTTATGATGGATAGTGAAGCTTTAAAAAAGATTAGAGCACCTGTCAGACGCACAGCAACTGACACTATGAAATTGTTATAACTGAAATAAACAGGAAGGTTCAGTTGATTTAATTGATGAACATTTAGCAAAACTTTTAGATAAGGAAGCTAATTTAGAGTATCTTAATGAGGAAATTCTAAAACTGTGCAAAATGGAAGAAACAGAAAAGGAAATTGAAAAACAGCAAGATAATATTATTACTTGGAAAATTCGCGCGAATAGAATCCTGAAAATGAAAGAAAGCGAAGTTGTTCGCGAAACTGAAAGAACGAATGTTGTAGAAACCAGAAGTGAGCAGCGGTATACAGTATAACTTCCTTGCTTGCAGATACCTGAATACGATGGCAATATATTTTAACGAATTTTATTCTCAGTTTGAAGTAGCTATCCATAAAAAGGTGAATCTTAGTAATGTAGAGAAGTTTAGTTATTTAAAATCGTACTTAACATACGCAGGTGAGGTAGCTCTACGTTGTTTAGCATCAAGCTCTGAAAACTATGAAATTGCCTTGAACATATTAAAAGAACGCTTTGGTCGAAAAGATATTATTATAGATGCGCATATGGCAAGACTTTTAAACTTAAGTCCAGTACGAAAATCATGCAACATTGTAGCGTTGCGTAGACTTTACTCAGAATGCGAAACACATATTCGAGGATTAGAAAATAATGGAATTAATCCTAATAGTTACAGTTGTCTATTGTATGCAGTGTTGTTAAAATTGATACCCAAAGATTTGTCCTTAGAATTTTCTCGTAAAACACATTCGGAAGATGAAAACAAAATATCTGATTTATTGATATTTTTAAAGACTGAAATTCAGTTTTGGTTTGGAAAGGATTGGGTTTATAATGAATATAAAAATATAGTTAAGGAGCAATTAAAACTGAATATCGTTGAAGAAAGTCCTTCAACGCTATTCAATTCTTAATATATTTCAGGCTTAGAAGAGAATTCTTAATTATATGCCTCATTCAGCTGTAGTAAGATTGGATAGGGACACTACGAAAGTCAGATTGGTTTTTCGATGCATCGGTCAAAAAGTAATGGGTGCAAATCTCTTAATGAATGCTGAATCCTGGGCCACCGTTGAATCCCAGAATTTTGGATGTAATCTTGCGATTTCGCGAATATGAATATGCATTCAGCTGTGATAGTCAGGGAGCATTTTTGACCATAGGAATAGCGGAAGAGGATAGACTATTTACGTTTTTTCTGGTTTTCCAGATGAAAGTGATTCAAAAACTTACAAAATTTTACGAAATGACTCAGCGTTCCCTTTGGAGTGACATCAAGCCCATTTATCCTTGCTGCGACTATTAAATACGACATTAGAAAATATAAACTTGAACAAAGCGAAACTTGTGAAATGCTTGACTCGGCACTTTATGTAGATGATCTTTTTTACGGAGCAAATACAATAGAGAAAACTTTAGAACTTCAGAGTTTCACAGAGCGCTGTAAAAATTCTTAAAGATGCGAACATGAATTTAAGAAAATTTAATACTAATTCGGATGAGTTGAGAAATTTATGGAGTGAACGAGGTTTGTCTGATGTGACAGAAACTAAAGAACGTCCTTTGAAAGTTTTAGGCATAATATGGAACACTGAAGAAGATGCTTTTAAGTTAGATGCAAAACCTCTACTGGACATGATCTGTGATAGGAAGAACTCAAAACGTAGTGTACTTCAGACAGCTTCGAAGTTATTTGATCCTATGGAAATTGCATCACCTTTTATTGTTCTCATAAAATTATTAATGCGAGAAATATGGGAACTTGGTTTAGGATGGGATGATGAGCTATCAACTGACTTGAAGGAAAAAAATGGGATAATTGGTGCTCTCAGATTTATCTGTTGAAAGATTTGATAATCGAAAGAAAATATTTCTCCATACCATGGAATTTGGTGAAAGAATTAGAACTACACATATTTTCTGACACTTCTCCTAAAGCTTTCGGAGCAGTTGCGTACTTTCGTTACGTGTCAAGTGATGATTGTATTTATAGAAATTGTATCACTGCGAAATCTAGAATCGCACCGCTTAAACGATTGACATTATTAGGCTTGAACTTATGGGAGCTGTTATTGCTTCTAGACTTTTCCAATATTTGAAAACAAATTTTAAATTTCCTGTGTCTAAGGTACATATGTGGACAGATTCCTTAATCGCTCTTCATTGGATTAAAGGGAAAGCTTCAAAATGGAAACCTTTTGTATCGAACCATGTATCCGAAATCCAGTCTATAACTGATCCTGCTGATTGAAATCACTGTAGAGGGCAGGATAATCTTGCAGATTTCATATCTCGAGGAGCTACGGTAGAAAGGTTTATGTCCAGTTCGATTTGGATGCAAGGTCCAGAATGACTTTGGATGAAGAAAAGGGATTGGCCAAAAGGCTTTAATTATGAAATTCGTGCAGAGATTTCTCCATAAGTATATTGCAAAAAGAGAAGTAAACTGGAAGAAGTATCGTCTTTTGTGTGCGAAGTGCAATCGAATTTGACACATTTAATGGATTTGAATAGATATAGTAGTTTAAGAAAATTATATCGTGTTACAAGTTGGATACTACGATTTATATACAACCTTAAATTTAAAACTAAACGATGTGGTGAACTAAGCACTGAAGAACTTAACGAAGGCTGAAATTATCTGGACAAAAAACTGCTTCAAAGTGAAGCTTTTGCGGAAGAGCTGTCCTCTTTGAGACAGGGTAAAACAATTTCTAAAACTTCCTCTATTCTAGAATTTCTGAATCCCTTCATCTATTCTAATAATGACGGGATAATGCATGTTGGTGGAAGACTTCAGAAGTCAAGACTTTCTTACCTTCAAAGACACCCAATTATTATGCCCTCAAAACATCCCTTTGTGAATTTATTAGTGTGGGATGCACACAGCAAAGTGTTTCATGGAGGAATTTCTGAAACTTTGATAGAAATACGCGAAAGATACTGGATAATTAAAGGAAGACAAACTGTTAAAAATATCTTAAGAAAATGCATTCTGAGTAAACAATTTAATTCTTCTCCTGGTGTGCAAGTTACTGCTCCTTTACCAGTAAATAGAACAGAAGAATTACCTCCTTTTTCTGTAGTAGGTATAGATTTCGGTGGATCACTTTATACCAAAGACAGTGATGAGAAAAACTACATCATGCTGTTTACTTGTGGGGTAACACGAGCTCTTCATTTAGAGTTTGTTGGCAGCATGACCACAGAAACATTTCTTCTTGCTTTTCGACGATTCATTGCTCGTCGAGGTCTGTGTTCTCGTTTTGACGAACAATGCCAAAACTTTCAAATGATCAGAGCTTGAACTTAAAAATTTGTGGACTGTCATTAGTCATCCAACAGGAAAAGACTTTTACACCTCCCACAAAATGCAATGGTGCTACATTGCTGAGAAAGCTGCGTGGTGGGGTGGCTTCCATGAACGATTAATTAAATCTGTAAAACTTGCTTTACGAAAAACTACTTCTCGAGACGAGTTAGAAACTCTAATTATTGAAATTGAAGGTCTCGTCCTTTAACTTATGTTCATTCTGAATTACAGTAATCTATGCCTCCAACTCCAGCTCATATGCTATTGGGGCGCAGAGTGAATAGTTTGCCTCCTGCCAAGCTTCATTTGGATTTTATTTTAGTTAATAGGATAATGCTAATTAAAAGATTTAATTATCGAGAAAGATTGGTTAGTATGTTTTCGAACAAATGGGAAAATGAATACCTATTAATGCTGAGATCTGTTCATTGTGTTAAACCTTCAGGTAAAATTACTGAATTTAAAGTGAATGATATCGTATTAATTCATGATGAAAAACTACCTAGACATTTTTAGAAATTAGGAAGAGTTGTAACAGTATTTCCTGGCAAAAATGGAAAAGTAAGGTCTTGTGAAATTATCAGTTATTAAAAGACCTGTGCAGCTTTTATATAATCTTGAAATATATGAATGAATTTAATTGTTTATTAATTTGTATTATTGTTACAGGATTATTCCAGATATGTGATGAAAGTTTTAAAGTATGTACAGGTATTGAGTTGCCAGCTTATTATCTTTATTATACTTTATTTCAGGTAACTTTGCAAATTGTTTAAAAATAAATGATTAAATTTTATAACTGTTATTAGAATCTTCAGAAAATATTTTAAATTTATAAGTTAGGTGAGCAGGTACTCTTCTGTTATCAGGACTAGATTCAGAAATTTATATACGTATGGATGGATGTATGTTTGTGTATACACGCACATATAAGCACATACACATGTGCATAGATATATACATTTCTGAATCCGGTCCTGATAACAGAAGAGTACTGGTGAGCACACCAAACTATGCTGGCACCATGCATTCTTCAAGTGCCATGTTTGCCACTGTCCCTCAGACATTAGCATTAATTACATTATTATTTTTACCACGAGAGTTTAACTAGAAAACACTACAGTGCCAAGGATGATGATAATCTGCGAATCATACTCTGCATTAACTCAGTCAAAGCAAAATATCTTAAGAAGCATCTTAAATGCACTAGCATGTATAAAACTATTTTTGTACTTGCCTATTTATGAACATAAACAAATAATATAACTAAAATTCTTTCTTGTGAAATCTGGCATATAATAATGATAAAAAATTTATTCAAAAATGTTCTTTAATATATCCAGGATGCTTGGAAATCATGGTATATTTTATTACTAAAGAACAAAGAAAGCCTTTATGCTAAAACCTAAACCAAAAATATTCACAACTGAACAGTGCACAAAACAATTTTATAACACATAATTATTTTCATTAATAATTTAAACAGGCTGGGAGCTAATCCCTCAATTAACTACACATTTCTTCAATGCTAAAAACATGCTTTCTTTATCATTTTTGTAGTTAGGGAGAAATATAGTTTACTTCAAATAATAACAATATCATTTGCACATCCAGATGCAATGCCTAAATGGAATAAATAATATATTTGTAAATATGAATATTAACAAAAATAGATCAAAATTCAGCAACATACCTTTTTACTTGGATCCTCATTAAAAACAGAAAAAATCATGCCAATAAATCCATCATCCATCATTTGATAGCTATCTTGTGTATTAACATCTAGTGGGATAAAAATCTAATTTGAAGAGTTACAAGATATTATCAAAGCTGGAAAATAACTATTCTTGGATTTCGGGAAACAATCAAATGATTGCGATACCAATAATTGCTTTCTAACTTATTTTCTTTCAATCAACCAGAACAGTAACAAATATCAATTCGCAAATTAATAAACAAAATATTAACATTTTCCCTTAAACACTTTGACCTTGACCATAACAAACTTTCCAAATTGTCTGCATATTATAAATATCTTTAAACCATTTCCACATTCTTCACATGAGGCTTTGTGCTACTTTTAGGTTTTTGCAGACCTATGCCACTGTCTATCCCGCTTCCATTCTCTCAACTGCAAGCTCGCAACATTATTAATGATGCATTCTAATTTCTATATGCAAAAATTCTATCCAACTACTTATACAATCCTTGAAATTAGAATCTGATGCATTCCTATGCACTTATGGTGGAAATCTTTATAACAGTGAGTGGGAACATCTTTGCTGTGCAATGTATATGTGCTCACCACAGTTCAAGGATAAAAACTTAAAATCTTTAGCCGAGACTGCTACTTATTTCTCACTTTTTTTTTTTTGTCTCGAGTCAGCTCATGTATGTTAATGTTAAACGGTTAGCCTCTTGTGAGATGCGATATCCCTTTTTTAAATGTTAAAAAAGTTTGGTTTTAATTGTTAGCTGACATTTACCCTATTCTAATGACCTTCTGATGGAGTTTATCAGCCATAAACCATCGCCATACACTCTTTTCTTCATATGCTGAAAGAAGAAAGAAAAAGGTGTGCATGTTTCTTTATAATGAAGGCTGAATCCAACTGGACTGTGTGATAAAAGTTGACTTAGAGGTACTAGCCTGTTAGCTTCATTAGAATTAACATTATGCACCTTTTTCTAGTTTTCCAATCAGGAGCCTGGTTTTATATAGTACAAAGTCCAAAATCCGGACCTCTAAACCACCAACAAAATTTTTCTTGTAGGCTTTATGCATGCACATTTAATCCCCCTTCTACGAATAATAAAATATCTGGAGAGTCCCGATTCTTAATTTCACTTTGATACTAAATAAAATACCTTGTTATTGAAAAAACAATCATTTTAACATAAATTTGTACGATCAGTAATTTGGCTCCATTGTTGCATGTCTGCTTGCACACATCTCAAACTGAAACATTCCATCTCACGCCAAAACCTGACGAATTATTATTTATTACTTTCCTTTCATCACCGCATGTTTATCAAAACATGACAACTTGAGTAATGACTCATGTATGGATGCCTAAACCATTTTTTTTTTTTTTTACGTTAGTAATTGAATAATAAAGGAGTATGGTAACCTTTTATGCTGACAATACGCTTGGTGATGATTACAGAGTTAAGTTAAATGCGCTAAAAATGTTGACGAGGAAAAATTTACCAAAAATTTCTTTCCATACGTTAAATATAGATTTTGTCGATTGACAAGTTAGTCGGAATTCTCGAAACAGCAGTTATACGACTTCAACAATGTAACTAAATAAAAGATTATGTCTGTCTACAGAATTAAATAAATACTTCATTATTTCATATTTTTAATTTCATAATTTCTACATACCATGTTACCAGATTTAAACCGATGACCTATTATCTGGAAAAATCCCAAATCGCTGAAGTCCTGACGAGTCCGGATTTTGGACTTTGTACTGAATTTCTTTCATATGAAGGAAGTCCATATATCATGAATTAATTTGGAACTTTTACACAGAAAGAAGTGATATTTAAACCACTGCAGTAAAAGCACTGACAATGCATTACAAAGTATTTTCTTAGTAGAATACTTCTGTTGCTTTTACATTAAAGGAAGATGAAGTTAACAAAGCCATGATAAAAGCATTTTCATCATTAAATCATTCTAGAAAAGGGCACTAATGAAAGTGTATGCTTCAAAAGTAATTTATTTAATATGCAAAAAAAAGTTGCTGCATCAATACCTTTGGGTTGTTACTACCACCTTCTGTAGCTATATCCCTTGTTTAGAGTATGTATTATTTGCAAAAAGTATACTGTTAAGGAGGATTTTGAGGATAACGAAACAAGTAAAAAATCACTTGGTGCTAAGTTGCAATTCAAATTCCACAAGATATTGCTTGTTTGCTCATGTTACATGAGGTACGGTATTATAATAATGAAACTGTGACTCAGAAGGCCTGAACATTTTTGGTGCACTGAAGCTTGAAACTGTAACACTTTATCTTATGTATATACTTATCTTTATCTTATGTAAACTGTAACACTTATGTATATACTTTATCATAGTATGCTCACATTCACTCCTTTAAATTGATTGCAGCAGCACAGAAAATGCACTAGAGATTTCTTCTCTAATATACATTGTTGCAGCACAGTAACCATTTCCATACTGAAATGATATGCCTCAATAATTAGCACTGCTCACTGCCTCTTTATGAAGTGCGATTGCACTGCTACCTGGTAATTTGAAAGTAGTCATGCCTCTTTCTTATTACCTCCAGTAGTCTACAACATATTTATTGGCTTCCTGTCATGCACTGCACATTAAAACAAAAATGACAATAATATTAAACCCACCTATGAGATTTAAGAGCCGATGCTAAAATTTTATGCTACACATCTTGGGTTTATAAGCATGGTTTTAGAATATGAACAACCAGTTAATTATTCTGAAAAAGTGATAATTACTAAATAATCAAATCTTATTACAAATGCTCTGAATTTTCAAAGTATCAATTATTTGTAAACTACAGATGTTGTTATATTTTTCATTTGTTTCATCTTAGCAGTATACTTTAATTACACATTATTCACAAATACTGAAAACTAGTAGAAATACAGAGATTCTTAAAATTAATTTAGCATAAATAAGGTTCTCATTAATCACACAGCTTCAAAGTACACAATACAGTCAGTCTAAAAATTACTTGGATGATTTTTCGTTATATCCATAATGTAATATATATATATATGAAAAAAATAACAGAAATTGAATTCATTTTCTGTAAATTTTATCTAAATTAAATATTTCAAAAATGCATCACCAACCAATACCTAGGCAGTAGTAAATGCAGGTGATTTCCCTAAATACATACACTGCTCGACATTGAAAATAAAACACCAAGGAGGAGTGGTCAGAATTTTATGCAAATTTTAGAGTAGATGCAGGTCACTGAGTTATGTGAATGATGTGAAATGCACAGGTCTCCGATGAACGTGAAGTAAAATATAAGGGAAGGAATGTACAGAATGGGCAATATTCGTGTCATTAATTTCTGCCAGACGAATTATCGAAGAAAGTTGGCTATTGTCCCAGAGGATATGTGTAATAGGAGAGAATGTCAGGCTGCCGTGAGCGACGGCACTTCCAGCAGATAGACAATTTTACGAGGGGTATGGTGATCGGACTGAGGGCGGGTTGGTCCTTATGTCAAACTGCAGCTGATACCCACATGGATGTGAGCGCAGTGCATCAGCTATGGCGAACATGGTTGGAACAAGGAAATGTGGGAAGAAGGAGGGGTGCAGGTGCAGCCAGAGTGACATCAGCACGCGTGGATCAACACATCGGCCGACAAGCTGTGGCGGTCCTGCAAGTCACTTGTACCGCAAATCTGCAGCACGTGCAAGATACCCTGGACGTTCCCGTGTCGACCAGAACCATTTGAACCATTGGTTGAACGTGGCCTGCACTCACGGCATCCATTAAGAAGACTGCCATTGACCCCACAGCATAGATGGCAACGTTTAGAATGGTGCTGGACTGGAGCAACGTGGATGACAGAATGGCGAAACGTCATGTTCTCAGATGAGTCATGCCTATTTATCCAGTGAAAGTCGACGCATACATGTGTGGCGTCTACGTGGAGACAGATATAATCTGCCAGTAACTGTGGAACGTCCCAACGCGCGACAATGTGGCATAATGGTTTGGGGCGCTACTGCCTACGATTCCAGGTCACCTCTAGCTCGTATTCTGGAAACTATGATTGCCCAACAATACTTGGATAATGTACTGTGGCCGGTGGTAATTCCTTACCTTCAGGGGCTGGCTAATGCAATTTTTCAGCAGGATAATGCCCGACCACACAGTGCTCGCATCTGCCAACATTCTCTGCAAGGCATACACAGATGCTTCTCTGGCCACCATACTCTCCTGACCTGTCACCAATCGAACATGTGTGGGATGTGATTGGACGCCATTTGCATACTCTGCCTCGTTCAGAAGATGAACTGTGGCAAGTGGTTGAATGGGAATGGAGAGCCATCCCTCAAGACACCATCCGCACTCTTATTGACTCTATGCCTAAACGTGTTTCTTCGTGCGTCGTTGTCCGCAATGGTCCTACATCCTACTGAGACGACGCCGTTCTCGCTCTGCATTCCATCATTTTGAAATAAAGATCACGTACTGCTGCTTGCTCTGTCTTTTTTCCAAATTTCATCACTTTCTGACCAATCCTTCTTGGTGCTGCATTTTCAATGTCGAGCAGTGTAAATGCAGAGATACTAAAATAATAGGAACATTCTTATAGATGAAAATTGCTCCAGATGAACAAGTTACAGATAAAATTGATTTTTTCACATTTAAATGGAATGCATACCCACTGCAGCAGGGGAAACAAAGCTTTAAACACAAGTAAACAACAGAAAACATTTTAGGACTCTATAACAATTTTGAAACATTGGATTAGATTATTTGATTGCAATAAAAGTTTAGGGTTCTATGTCTATGAGGAGTGATGCAACTGTTAAGAGTTCTACAACTTCCCATAATCAGATATGATCATTGTACCAGGTATGATATACCATTGAATTACATTAAACAAAGTTTTTTTTTCTTCTGTCCTCAACCACTTCAAAAAAGCACCTTCCACACCACCAAACATCAGCCACCGGCAGCCATTTTACGGTGTAAAGAACAAAATAAGCAACCTACTTCCTAACCGACATCTAACACAGAAATAAGCCCCGAGAAATGTTCTCCCTATAATCAAAATCAGTGCTATAATGCATTACAACTGAATACATCAAGATAGGTTTCCAAAACATACACTGTAAAGCACTCAGGTTACCATAAATGAAACAACTTAAAGATAATCCAAGGGATACCCCAAAATATAGACTACCCTAATCTTCCACAATAAAAATTTTTATTTTTCTCACTGCATGCTAATATTATTCTTATATTAATATAACCCTAACAAAACATTAAAAACCTAAAGAGACAAAAGGAAAGTATGAAATACAGACCTGTCCACAAAAATAATTTTCAATTACACATCTGATTAAAATTTGGAATTTAAAATAAGAAAAACTGTCAATACTTTGAAGGCTTTCAAATAACATTTCATCTTACAAAGACTTGGCAGAGTGAATGTATATATGGGTGCAAAATTAAGGGAATTTGAGCATTATGTTGAATTTCTGTAAAACTAACAGGTAAATTTTAATGAAATTTGGTATGATAAATATTTTTAACAAAGGAAGTGATGTACTATTCAGAAGTCACATACATTATAATCAGTAAAGCCCACAGAGTAGGGATGTTCAAAATCTATGCTGTGATACTGAACTGAAAATAAGTCTAATATGGGATACAGTTCCGTCTCACAGCGAGACAGATCATGCAATGTGATAACATACTAGACAGAGGGGGGCTACTGAGGAGTCCCTGTGACAGTCGATCATACCCCCGCAGCATGGCAGTTTTCAACTCCGAGAAGGTTCTCAAAACCGTTCTCCCAAAAGTATCCAGACATGCTCTATGAGTTAAGTTCAGGAGATCTCGTTGTCCATCCATATGGCGAATCTCCTCACACTAAACCGCCGACCAGCTCAGCCCTATGTATATGATCATTGTCATCCATTAATAGGAACCCAGGATCGGTTGTGTCCCTGAAAAGTTGAATACAAGACTCTAAGATCTCTCTGTACCTCATAACAGTTAGAAAGCCTTTGTCAAACACATGCAGGGGTGTGCAGCCATCCAACATAATGCCTGTCTAAACCTTCACCATAATAATGGCCCTTTTTCCCGGAATGGAGAATGGGTGGTATATTCCAGGCTCTCTTCACATACAGACAACACACCCAAAATTAGCATCCAGGCTGAATCTCAACTCATCTATAAAAAGCATAGTGTGTGACTGAATTCAAGGTGCATGTTGTCTGCACTATACTAAATGAGCTCTCTTGTGTGCAGCAGCGGATGGGATGCAAACAGTGGGTCTTCTAGCATACAGCCGTACCTCATGAAGCCTTCAGGCAACTGTAGACCATGAAACTTGGATTCCATTGGCAGCATACAGCTCGTGTGAGAGCAGTGAAGCCGTGTCAGCCTTCTGTCGCCACACTGAATGTGCCAAATAATGATCCTCATTTGTTGCTGTGGAACTTGCTTGACCTTGTTCAGGTCTTCATGACATGGATTCAGTATCCTGAAACTATTTCCACAAACTGCAGATGACAATGGCCATTACAATGAGCTCTATAGTTACCTGCATTTGTGACTGGGCTGTCTCCAATCTACCGATAATTTTCTACCTCATTCCATCATCCCAAAGACGTAGCTAGAAGGGGGGCAAGGCGGAACATCTGTCCCCAAATGCAGCATCTAGGAGTGCTAAACTGATGTTACAAAATTTTAGAATTGTTTATTTCTGGCAAACAAGAGGGGGCACAAAATCTTCCAGCTGTTCCCAGCCACCGAGCTACAACTCTGCATCATACATACATTTGCGGCTACGCATTTTACCTGATACCTTATAAAATTTACAAAACTCTTGCAAGAAATATGGTAAATGTCATGGAATGCGAACACACACATTACCTAAAACCCTTTGTGAGCTTATAGCCCCCAACAATGACAGCAATGCATGTATATGCTTATGTATTCAACTTGGAATATTTGCACAATTCTTTGACGGCATCATTGAGACAATTAGTTCCACACTTTCTGTAAAAATAAACATAATTTGCAAATTTTCTTAATTTTGCACACAAGAGTAAAACACACTTGATGGCCGAACATTAAACAATTTTTCCAGAAATTCACAGGTACACAACATTGCAGTCCATTTCCGTTTGCGATGCTACCCTGATATTTAACTGTACTGTATCGACTGGTGGTTTTCCGAGTTTTGATAATTTTCCTACTTTCCAAAACATACAAAACTTTGTTCTTAAGTTAATTTAATTTTTAAATGATTTCATGACACTTACCATCAGTGAATATTTCTAAAATTTGGATTCAATTTAAGAAGAATTTTTCAAATAGTGTCTACCATTACTGTTTGCAGATAGAAGAAATTTTCCAGATGCCAACAACATCCTTATATGTGACATACACTTTCACAGCATTTGTTAAGGGCAGGGGGAAAACTAAGACCTAGTCTACTTTTCAGTTAAGTTAATACAGTGGCCAAATGCATTGAACGCCTTCTAATTTGTTTTGCTCTAAAAATCAGAATGTTAACATTTTTAAAGAAAATGCAAAGTCATTTAAAACTTACTTTAAAGCCTTCAAATGATTACAACTGATACACTTTTAAAATAATATAAAAATAACAGCAGAACCTTGATCTATTGTTTTCCAATGGGATGAAGTGTAAAAACGATGAATGTGAGAAAGAATTAAGATAGCTTACATATTTTACATATCTAAAATATATAAATAACATTTATTACTTACTTGCAGTATGAACACCTATATTTAAAATTGCTTTTAAAAATATCACATATTGTCCCATGCTACTTGGCTGAATTTTGTCTCAGCTGGAAATATGTATTTTTAAGTCTTAGGAGGCTTCCACAGTTCATATTGCTTCCGCATTGTGAGGGAAAAAAAAAATATATTTCAAATTTGTATACAGTTTTGTAAGTAATGATGAAGCTTGTCATTATCACTAATTCATTTCTATTTTAACATTTCTTCCTGCATACTGCTTAACAGGACATCAAGCTGAGGGGTAGATATGGAGCACACTATGTCACTAGATTTACAGTCCAGGTAGAAGGGAAAAAATAGATATGTACTTCATGTTTTCGCCTAAATAATCCATGGGTAAATCTGCCAGGAATGGGTCTTTCACAAAAATGATGTGGTAAACTGATAATTAGAGGAATGATTAATCATGGACCCAAAATGGTCTCAATTTGCAACATGAATATGGACCAGTTTACCTAAGGAAATCCTCCATAAAGGCATTCCTCTTCTTAGACACAAAGCCATCATGAGCATTGCAATATTTAAATAACCCAACCAATACACATATGGAAAAATGAACACTGGAAATAACAGATCAAGTTTTTACTGTATATCTAATAAAATAAATTTTAAAAAATAAGTAAAATACGTATTATAACTTACCTATAGGGGAAGGCCAAACAGTTAATTTTGGATGAGAATGATACCATCCTATGACACGAATAGGACGTTTCAAAATGCATGCCAATCTCTTTAATTTCATTTAAGGACCATAATTTACAAATAGAAAATAATCTTTCTTATATAAAAAAATACAAAATCAAAAACATTTACATATAAACCTGTATAATATTTAGTAAAATGAAATCATACTTTGTTTGTTATCAAGTCATTCGGTAGCTAAATTATTTTTAATCTTTTACAGGACAAATTCAGATACAGGATCACTTTTTAAGTATTTTTTAGTACATTTCACTTTAGAATGTTTTGGTTTATAGTATATATTGATCATTTAAAAGAGAAAAAAAAAATTATTGGTTCCTTATAATGAGAGACTTAAAAAATAAAAAAAGCAAAAAATTATGATCGATTTATTTATGAATTTATGACTGCTTAAATTATTATTATTGTTAGGAAATAAGGACTAATTACTATATAAATAAGAACTTTTAAAGAATAATTTATACAGCAATTTTAATATTCTATTTTATTTTTATGAAATCTCTCTTACTGTATATACTTAATAAATCTAAGTATCTCAAAATTTCACACAGAGAAAGCATTCTAAGACAATTTGAAAGCTCAGGATACTTCAGCTTCAGTAGATGCATTTGACAACTGTTCAGGTGATATTTCTACACGATCTTTTCGCTTGTCAGAGCGACGAAGGATAACAACTGCTGAAATATGAGCAACTCTGTTCTCATCAACCTAAAATGAGAAACAAAAATTAGGACTTTCACATATAAATTATTCATTCTCAACTTAATTCTATGCTTATTATATTATTTTCAGAAAATACAAGGTAACCAAAAAAGTTCTTGCCGTTTTTGATATGACATTGGAAGTGTGAACCCCAACATAAAAATAGTCGCCAAACACGGCAATGAAGTGGTTAGGATGGGAGTCCGGACATTGACCAAGAGTATAAAAGCGTGTTGCATCGGTACTTCAAATATAGCTCACAGGGCAACTGATTGAAATGGATGCATCAAAAGTGCTCGTTTGCTGTATGATTTTAAAGTGGGCATGTCAGCAACAGAATCAGGGTTGCCGAATTTGCCAGGCCTTAAGGCATAAAATTTAAATATCTGGTAAAAATTCTATGTAATTGTATGCCAGTATTGAAAGAAACAATCAATCTGATAAGAAATGGCTGCTACTTGTTTTGAAAATGAGGCATAAAAGGTTGCCAGCAAGGATATTTCGTTTGGCATCAGCTGTACCATTATTGGGGACATTATCGCTTGCGCTGACAAAACGGAAAAAACCCGAAAAATCCTGTTCTGGGATGCTGGTAATGACATCCCCAATTAAAGAATTTGATCTAAATTAGCTACATTATTGTGATTAGTTTTAGATAAGGGGTATGAATTTAACTCAGCTTCAATTTGAATTAGTAAAGCAGTTAATTCCTCAAATGTTAACTTTGTCTCTCCTATCCAGTGGCGACTTGTAGCTAAAATTAGTGGCGGTGCTGTTCCAGAAAATTTTAACCTTTGTTTTAAAATTGTGTACAAGCAAACAAACATATATAAAATGAAAATTTATTTTGAAACTTCATGAAATCTTACAAGAACAAAATTAAACATTTCTTAATTACTTTAACCTAAATTGTTACAGTTCAATCTTTATCTATTCATTTAAAAATGAAATCCATTTTTCTTGATTTAATTTGTGCAAAAAGAACAATACTTTTCTCCTTGATCTCTGGATGACAACTGAGGAAATTTTTCTCTATTGAAAGTACTGCAAGCACATTTAGTCTTTCCGAATTCATACTGATTCTTAGAAAAATTTTCATTCTTTTCATTTGAAGTTTGTTGAAAACCAGCATTCTGTTTCTGATGTAGTCATGAGAACTGTCAAGAGAATTTTTATCAGTTTTATAATTTCACTAAGAACATCTAAATTATTTTCCAAGATAAATTTCAGTAGCTCAATTAATTTGCAGTACTCATGAATATTAGACCTATAATAGAATACTTTTAGTTCCGTTTCAAGTTTTTCTTTGTCAACTGTTGTATATGCTTCAGTGGTCAGTACTATTTCTTCTGTAGGATGTTCATTCCTAAAACTAGCGAAGCATTTCTTGTTGAACAATTTAGCAGCTGCTACGTGTTTAGTGGAAGAATGTCCATTATATCAATACACATAAAGTCACATATTTCCTTAACTTCTGCCATCAGTGTCTTTGAAGAATTCTCACAATGCTTTGAGTTTCTTAATTCTTAAATAGCAGTTTTGAAATTTGTTATATATTCATTAACTTTATACACACTAATTTCTCTGGATTGCATTTGCTTGTATATTATTTCAACATGAGGCATAATCTGATAAAAAAGCTCTAACCAAAACTTGGTTAGTTTATCATCATTTAGATATTTTAAAATTCCTGTTGCTTCTGCAATAGTTTTATCTGTATTTGATGTTGACTGAATTTCAGTAAGGTAATTTTTTAAAGGTTGCAAATTTTCATGAACTCTGTTTATGGTCCGTATGTTGAAGTTCCACCTTGTGAAGGAAAGACGTGGAATGCTAACGTCCATATGCTTCTTTAGAATGGACACACGTTGCGGTGATCTTGAGAAGAATGTTATAATAGCCAGAATGTTTGAAAAAAAAATATTTTCATGTTTCGTGAATTACTTGCTGCATTTTTCATTATTAAATTAAGTTGATATGCATAACAGTGAAAGAAATGTGCATTAGTATAAACTGCTGTTATTTTTTGTTTGAACTCCTGCTTTTTTGCCTTTCATGACATTTGCACCATCAAATGTCTAAGTTATCAATTTTTGTTCATTTCCCTGAAGGATTATATTCAATTGTTCTAAAATACATTTTGATATGCCATCTGCAGTTTGATTTTCTGGAATAAAGAACCCCCAGAAACACTCAAATACTTCTCCATTCAATACATACCGTAGAACAAGGACCATCTTAGTGTGTTCTGAAACATCTGTCGTGTCATCAGCCATAAAAGCTACAAAAGAAGCTTTTTTAATTTCCGTCCTCATCTCCTCATGATATATTTGAAGTAGGCAGTCAAGTATCTCACTCTGAATGGTCTTAGAAACACCTTTGAAGACTGCACTAGTTTTTAAGTGATTCTTCAAATCTGAATCTAATTTAGATGCAAAATTTACTAATCCTCTAAATACCCCTGTATTTACTGAATCGTCTTTTTCATCATGTCCACGTAAGGGAGTTTCAAAGTTTCCACAAAAGAAAATGCAGTCTATTATTTTGCACAATATTTCACGGATCTTTTTAACCTTTACATTATGCTCATTGACTGAAAGTCTGTATATCCCTCACTAAGCTTCTCCTTAATACTAACGGTTACTAAAGGTGACAGTGAATCTACATTATCAATGTGCTTCTTTGACTTCTCATGCTTTTCAGTTTTTTCTTTCATTTTGTTTATATTTCTGAAACCATCTTTTGTCCACGTTACATCACCTTCAAACAGCAAGCATGGGATTTTCTTCCCATTTTTTACTTCACAACCACAAAGCCAACTTTTCCGTTGGTACCATTCAGAATTGAAACTATGAATATATTTCTTGTTGTTGCTTATCCCTGGCTGGCATATTAGAATATCAGGTGTTGAACGACCTCTTTTCTTAATTGAAACTTTTTCATGGAGAGACAGCTGTGAAAACAAAAGCTCTTGAAGTTCACTTACAGTCACAGAATTTATAACTTGAGGATGCAAGACATGGTTAAAGTTTTCTGTAAAATAAAAGAACCGAAAAAACAAATCAGATAGAATAGCTACAAAATAATCTAATCAAGAATATGGTGTATGGTTTTTAACCACAGCACACGCGGAGTAAAAAAAGAACCACCTCCCAATGGCATGCCTGATTCGGCACTGCAAGAGCGACAGTGCTCTTCTCTCTCCATCGTGTGCTGCCTTCTGTGTACGCATGCGCAGAACAGCCAAACACTACGCCGTTGGAACTGTGAAGCACGCACTTCCATACAAAGATTTAGTACCTTTTCCATAAACTGGGGCATGGCTACTGACATTAAGCTTAAGGATTAAATATTGTAGAAGTATAAAGAAAGAATTAAAGAATATAGGATACATTATATTAAATATTAAAACTAATAAGTGGAAATAGGGCGTGATGCAGTTCCACAGTGCTTATTACCAGCCGCCACAGCTCCTATCATTCTTTTCAAATGGAATTCTATGGACTTGATCCCTGACACCCACAAACCACCAAAGTGGGGAGAATCAGGTGGAATCATTTTCCATTCCATAGTATTTTGAGCCAAATAATTTAAAATCAATTCATTGCTGTTAAGTGAAAGTAGCAGAGGGTGCAATTCGGACAACTTTCTCTTTTTGCCCCAACAAACTCCTTACCATTATCCGAAAATAAGTATCAAGGATACAAATCGCCTAAGAGCAGCAATGACAGAATCTGCAGTTAAGTCGCTAACTACCTCAATATGGTAAGCTTTGGTAGCTAGACATAGAATCTGCAGTTAAGTCGCTAATTACCTCAATATGTTAAGCTTTGGTAGCTAGATATACAAACAAAGCTATATTACCTCTAGTGGTCTTAAAGCAACGACCTATGTAACATTCCAAATTACAGGACCGGCATAACCAATACCTGTGAAGTTTCCCATTAATTGATTATTGTTAATCATTGTTAATATTGATATTATTGTTAATATTGATAATTGTGTGTTGAGGTCAGAGAAAAGTGTCTGGAAAAGAAAGACCTTTTTACTGGGCAGGTTCATGTATTGTTTAGTAATAAAATAACTCTGTGATTTCAAAACTCCTTATCTATATCCGGGTAAAAATAAACATTCCTATTTGAGAAGCAAGCAAACGCCATTGTGAAGAGCACTGGTTTCAAGGCGCAACCACCGCACGTCAAAGGGATAAACGTGGACTTTAAATAAAATTTTTAGCAGCATACATCAGTTAGGTTTGATTTGTTTAAATTATGGAAAAGCATGGGAGAGATATCTGCCTAAGAGGAAAGATGCCTTCAAGGAGGTCTTTCTGAAGGCAACTGGCTTAAATCCACGTTACATATTGAGAACGTAGATTTAAGCCCTGAAAACAATCATACAACTTGCTCATTAGCTTGGCTAACCAAACTACCAGACTTCAGTCACTTTACTGTTTGGCTGCTGATGAGCTGCATATCAGTTGCAAAGCAGTGAACAACAATTAATATGTTCCTTGGTTCTTGTTATGAATTACATGCAAGAAAGCAAGTCTTAGTAAAAATTAATATGCCAAATTTAAAGTGAATATGTTGTTTTTTTTTTTTTTTTTTTTTTTTTTTTTTTTTAAATGCAATATATGAACATATACATAAAATTTTAAAAAATTAGAGCAGAATATAATTTATTACTAAAAAAACTTCTATGTCATCAGATAGTTACAATTAAGTTTCCATTTATATGAGAATATCTATTGATTTCATTTATATGATGATAATGGATTTTCAATCATAGTATTATAGAAGTACTTTAAAATTATGCAGTGAAGATACTAATCGTAAAATTGGCTTTTTGATTTTATACTTTCACAATTTCTTTAGAAACTTCACTGTTAAAAAAAAACAGGAATATTTTGGAATTTTATAATACTGAAAGATATTCAAAGACAGATCTGAAATTTACTATTTTTTTCCATTAAATAGATAACTTTGCCAAGAAAAAGGGGTCAT